ACAACATGCCGCATTTAGTCTTAAAGCTGCTGCATTAAATACACTCTTAAAGTCAAGCTGGCCTATCCACAAATTTAACATCAAATTATTGACTTATTATTACCCAACAAAATTAAACCATTTATCACTCTTCATTCATTCATTAACTCTTATTTTTATTTTACTTATAAAATAAAAAATCATGAATATATACATATAGACTAGTCTATAACTCAAAAGTATTTAACATTTTTGCAAACAATTAGGAGCACTTTTTAGCTATAGATGGGTATAAGTAACTACACATTCTAAAATTAGTTAAAAGTTACAAATTTTAACCAATGAAAAAAAGGTCCATTGTTAATATTTCTTTTTGAAGAAGGAGGAATAAGTGATTGGTCGAAGTAGGGTAGAAAGATGATGGTTAGATGCACCGTAGGAGCAGAGGATTGCAGCCCCAATTGTTGCATCTTGTGAAAGTTATAAGCATGAAATATATATATATATATATATGGCAAGCATGATATTAGCAATGGTAGACAGCTTCTCACACCGAAAGGTAAAAAGAAATCACATGCTTCCCATACCATTTTTTTCCAAAAGAAAAGGAGTTTCAAGCACCCATTTCCCTTATTTGTTAGCAAGACTTTCGTGACAGCATCATGTTTCACTCAGATATGGCTATTCTTCCTCTTTTCTAGACTTCATTTCATGCTTAATTAGCAAAATGCAATCCATGGTCCCATCCCACATAACAAAACTTAATTATAATTAATGCTCTTTTTCACCCCTCTTACGAATTAATCAATTATTAGGAGTCTCAGAACTTATAGTGTTATGAACTTGGGTGATTTTTCTGCTTTCTATTTTTTATACAGAAGAAAATTTATGAAAAGGTCAGAGTGTTGTTCAAATAACATTGACCTCATCTTTCATATTATGTCACTTACTAAAATATCCCTTGTCTGGTATGAAATTTAGATGCCCTTTTAATTTCTGTGAATCATTAATGAAAGAGAAATAATATTCAAAATGCTAGGTAGTAGTGGCAGCCATGGTTTGTTTCCATGTATCTGATTGATTTAGTGATAATTAATAATTCAACTGTGATTTAGCATAACAATTCATAGAGTAGGGCGATAAAGGTTTCTGGCCACAACATCAAAGATTTTTATGTGTCCATTAACTTGTACACATGGACACTCTAGTCACATCAATTTTTTCCCTACGTCAATTATTGACACTTGAGCTGATATATGCTAATTAACATCAAGATGCTTAATCTCTCTCTCTCTCTCTCTCTCTCTCTCTCTCTCTCCATACTAAATTAACTGTTCTTCATTTTTTCAACTTCTTCACTTTTCCTTTTTAGCGGATATAGTAATTTGCTAAAGAATCAGATATCGTAAGTGGAAAAGAAACCACATATATAGAGTTATTCAAAATGCATCTTCATGCAGATATTTTACCACCAAAACTGATAAGATTTTGTGAAGCCTTTGAATATATATAACTGTTATTGAATTATTCTTATCATTATTCTTGGACTGAAGTTAACATTAATTTGAAGTTTCTACAAGAGAAAGAGCAACATGCACTAAGCATAGTATTACTTGAAATAATTAAACCATTGATAAACTTTCCAAGTTACAAGTTGGAGGAGATCCCAGCTGCTTCTGAGAGCCTCAACCCATGTAATGGATTAAACCCTAGTCAGATCTCTGAAGAGTTTCCTTTCTCTTCTTTCTTCTGGCTAGTCATATATGATTTTGAATGTCACATCCCAAACTTATAGGGATTGAGATTTCCATGTCAATTAGAACATTGGAGATAACTCCATCATCTCCTCCACTTGACCAACGCTTTCATCTAAGAGCCACTTCTCAAGAAATGACAATGGAGGAGCACTGTTGTTCTCAGATTTTTGCCTGATCCTCTCTTCTTGAGAGACTTCGTGAGAAGATTCGGCAGCAGCTTCAGGACTCTTATCAGGCATGGAATCGCATGTGGACTTGTCCCAAGCAGCATTGTTTAGGTTCTCAAAGGACAAAATAGAATCAAACTCTTCATGAGAAGCCATATCTACGCCACCCTCTTGCTCATCTTTGTTTCTTTTGTGCTGATGGTGAAGGTTCAAAGCAGGCAGCGATGCACACTTCATCAGTTTATTAGTGGTCTCAAAGTTGTTGCTGTTGTTGTTGTTATCATCATCAATGCTTTGGAGCTCTTGATCTTGGGATCTCTTGAGTGGCTTTGGGGAAGATCTCATCCAACCTTCCAAGAGTCTAGAGATGTTCTCAGTGCTTGAGGCATATGTGGAGGACTGAGACTGACTAAGCCTAACGGATGAGACATGGTTATTGTTGCTGCTGCTCATGTCTAAACTTCTTCTGTCGTTAAAGCTCTTTGGTAGATACTGACCACTGGTGGCTGAGTCTGATGCTGAGTGGGGATCTATGGCAGCTTGAAATTTCTTAAGCTTCTTCTTTAGATGGGTGTTCCAATAATTCTTGATATCATTATCTGTTCTTTGGGGAAGATACGAAGCTATGGCTGCCCATCTGCTCAACAATCAACAACTTCACAGATTCAGGCATATAATATGCATATACATATATATGCTAAAATCATAAGCAAATAAGTAAAAAGCATCTGAATTTTGATGTTTAGTTCTTCATGCTATATGTATATTGATTCTCTTTTCGTTGATGAGAAGAGAAAATTATGATATTTGACCGAGAATTACTTGTTACCCAGTAGAGCTTGCAAATGAATTATCATTCCTTCATCATGGGGAGTGAAGTTCCCTCTCTTGATTCCTGGCCTGAGGTAATTTGTCCATCTAAGCCTGCAACTTTTGCTGCACCTTGACAACCCTTTTCAAGAAAAGGTTTGAACTATATATGATCAGTTTGATTCAAGAAGAAGAAGAAGAAGAAGAAGAAGAAGAAGGCAGTTTCATAGTAATAGATATACATACAGTAAAGAAAACAGGAAAAGGATTTGAAGATATAATAGTAGGAGATGTTGAAATTAGGTAGTTAATTACCAGTATTAGTAGGCACTGATCTCCAATTTCCTGGACCATGTTCTTGGATGTATGAGACAAGGATGATATCCTCCTCAGGTGTCCATGGACCTTTCTTGATGCCAACTTTGTCACAGCAAGGAGGCCTCCCCATGGGTTGCTTTGGTTGAATCCACCTTCTTTCTTTCTCCCCAAAAACTGAATACGCACTGATCTCCTTTTCTAGCTAGGCCAAACTTCCCAAGAGAGCTTGCAAATAGTACCAATGCATGTGAGTGGTTTATATACTCGATGACTTTGATGAAAGGAAAACTTAAGAGATTTACCATCCTTCATCTACCAAGCTAAGTCACCTAACTCTTTTACTACCTTTATAATTATGCAGTCAATGTGGAAACCAAAGTCAGCCACTGAGGAGTTTAACAATTTTCTCTCTTTTTCCTTTCTTTTCTTTGTCACGTGGCACCTTCTCACCAAAACTTAATCTAATTTAATATTTCTTACCCTTCTCTTTTATTTCCCTTCAAACTGTTTGCTTCAGACCCTTCATGTCGTTAGCACACTAATCAATCACCATGTTGCCTTTTTCACATATACAACTTTTGTCGACATCTAATAAATTGAGGTTCCAAGTGAAGTGTACAATTTTCTTCTAATCTATTCTTCTGATTTATTAAAATTTAAGTCCCTAACCAAACGTAAAATTCAAAGCAAACTTAATTGTGGCATTCATTATTTTCCAACGAATACTTGGTTTTTCATTTTCATTTTCATTTTCATTTTATTTCTCATTTTCATTACCCTCTGCACAATTCAATGTGTGGTACTGCCAAAATTTAGCGGACAGCTAACAATAAATGAAATTTTCACAGAGAGGAGCAGAAAGTGCCGTAAGGATCCCCAGAGGGGTTAGAGATTTTGGTAAGGTTGCTTCTGGCTTTTGGGGAATGTTTACAGAATCTGGAACAAATGAATAATGATTTGTGGTTACTTGTCTGTTATTGTGCAGGATAAATATTTAATTTGTACTTGTTAGCTTGTAAAGATGTTGAATTCAACCCTCAATATCCATTATCATATTATATATATAAAAATGAAATTGTCATATACATATGAAGGAGACATGGAACTATGTTGTATATGGTTCCATAAGGAGTAATGCTTTCACTTTTCTGTGGTGTCAAATCCGAGCCTATTATGTTATCTTTTTGGCCTTTTTGGAGTGATGGAAGTACTTAGAGCAACAGAATGTAAAAGAATGAAAGATGATGGAAAAAAAAAAGGTTGAATTTTGATGAGAATTGAGCTTGTTTTTTATGTTATGGTATGAGAGAGAGAGTGTGTGGGTGCTTGCTTCTTTATGAGGAGCAGCGAGATCGTTCTCTTAAGCATGTGTCCGAGCTGTGGGATGTACTGAAGTGGTGTGTTAGTACTTAGGTTGTGTCACTTTCCATTGATCTTAATTACTCCCTCTTCTGTGTAAAAGGGATAACGATCTTCAAAGCAACTGCTCAAAGCTCGACTTTCATCGACATTATGCTAAGACAACACTTCAAGATAAATTGTATTCTACTGTGTAAGTAGTACAACGTAGGGAGAGACTCTCTAAAATATGACATGCTTCAATATATGATCATAAAAGAAGAAAATAATAAGAAAGACACACTTGTTTACGTTCATTTGATTGACGTATTAGAAAGGTAAAATGACCATAAAATAATAAACTTTTATAATTTTAGTAATATCACATGTAAAAAATATGTATTTATCAAAATAACATTTCTAACAAAAAAAAAGTTATGTTTAATAGTTATTTTTATAATTATAGTTAATTTAATTAATTAATCAAATTATTTATGTAAATGGAATGTATTGGGAAATTTAAGACAATAATACTAAAGTATATGTTAGTAAAATATATGTGAAAACTAATGGCATAACGTGACATTTTTATTAGTCATCTTTTATTCACTTTATGAGAGTGGAAGGGTGAGATTGTAATCTAAATCGTGTGCGAATTTGTGATTGAATATCATAATTATCATATTCTGGTTTAGTTAGATGATCGATGGTACGATTGTGAAAAGCTTTAAGTTCTTCAGTTATTGTGTTATCATTTACAACTAGAAATATTTGTTGATCCAATATACACTACATAATATTCACAACACTTACAAAATTCAATTTCATCTTGTTGGTTTATTTATACGGATCTAAACTTTATTCTAACCCTCAAACGACTCGTAAACCAAAGTCATATTCTTAATAAAATGGTTAAATTATGTCAAAACAATTTTAAAATGTTCTTATTATAGGAACAAAAGTTATAATCTAAAACTTTTGTTCTTATCTACTATGATAAATGATTTTTATAATATTTATTTTCTCGATTTATTCAAAAATTACATTCAATTAATATAAATAACTGAATTCAACTATTTATTATATTATATTGAGAATATATATATATATATATATATATATATATATATATATATATATATATATATATATCTTAGTACTATTGCCAATTTCTTTACACTCACAAGAACCTTAAACATTAGAACAAAGGGACTTAGCACAACAGTTGATACCGATGATGAAGTCCAAGCAGTGATGCCATATTTAATCACACTTGATAGTACAAGAACCTTACTCGGAGTTGGGTTTTTTAAAGCCATATGATATGAGAAACCACGGTTTGGGAAATTAGGACTTTGGGAAAACAAAATTGTGACCAATTCCAATTTTGAAGAAAATGAGTTTGGGAATGACGAATTTTAGAGAAGATGAGCTTAGACCTCACTTCTTCGTGAAATGGAGAAGGAAAGGAAATGTCTCATCAAAATCTTAATATTTTATTTTAATTCTCTAACCTCAATTACTATAATTTGAATCTATTGGTTAGAATTCCTTGATAAATAACTATGACAATCTTTTCAATAAATATTATCCACATATCATTCCTCCACAATTATCCAACTCATTTGGTGAAATTTTTTATTAGTAAATCAAATATCAAAATCCACCATTAATATTTCTCGATAATTATGTATTACTTTGGAAATATTTTATCAATTGTATGGTATAAGAGTGGCCGAGCAGTCCGTATTTACAACCGTTTGGTCTATTCTTTTAGTCAACGAAAATTGGTCAGAGCAAATAGTCTTGTTCATGATGGGCCAACACATAAGTTATTGGACCGCAGTGAGACAAGCGCCTAAGTTATTTATGATGGGCCATAATTATATTATGGTTGGGCCAATAATCCAGTAGGTAATAAAATAATACTAGAATGATTAAAGGATATTAATTAAGGATATTCGATTAAAGATATTGTTAAGTTTTTCTTTGTCGTTTTTTAATTATCTTGGAGATTTCATAATGCTTACTCTAAAACTTTTTGTTTATACGGTAGTGATCTTTTTCGTTTCTCTTTTCATCTTCGGATTCCTATCTAACGATCTAGGACGTAATCCAGGACGCGAAGAATAGAATAAGAAAAAAGTAGATTCTGTGTTTTCTTGCTTGTGTGGAATTTTGAAATATTTTTACGATTTTCTCTGTTTTAACATCTTTCACTAGTAAAGAAAACAAGTTCAAAAAAAAATACCAAATTATCAACAGAAAGAGAGGGATTCAAACCCTCGGTACAAGAATTTGTACAACGGATTAGCAATCCGACGCTATAGTCCACTTAGCTAGACCGAATCTAAAAATAAGTTTGTTTTTATTCTATTAGATATGTGCTAAATGCGAGATAACTTATAAATAGAAGGTTAAGTCCAAAAGGCAGGTACGTTTTACTAAATTCCAAATACTAGGTGGTACCTAACTTGAGCATCAGGATATCTTTTGCAAGTACCTCTCCCGGTCAAGAGTGAAAGCAAACGGAAGAGTGGATCCAAGCATTGGAAGACAGGAAGGTTACATCAGAAATGTACGTCTCTCAGCCCTACACATATACCTACATAAACATCAATAAATTTAGTATTTTTAATAATCACTCTATATTTTTTTTTAAAAAAACTAGTCTCATAAACTTTTTTGTCGTGAACTACTTTTTCAACCAAAACACATACATGTTTGATTTACTTGTAGTTAAAAAAATATGTATGCCAATAGAGCCTAATTCAGTATCCTAATTAACTCCACTAAATTTTTCAACTTCCTTATATAGGCAATGCAACACATCAATGTATCGCTATGGGTGAAATAAACTTCTTCATTACATGCTTTGGTTTTTACTTATGATCTGTTCCAAGTTTCAATCATTTCACTTCTTTCATTCACAATAATTAATTACCTATTATTATCCCTTTAGATAGCATTTTTGCTTATGCTTATTCAATTCACAATAACTCCTTCCATTATCTATCATCTTCAATTAATTACCGCGTGAATTTGTTTACTAGAGTATGAAGGTAGTAGTAGGCTTTATGCCATTGATTGTCTACATAGAACAATTTTTGTAGTGTTAAAAATAAATAAAATTATTAAATAGCATAAACAATTATTTACATGTGAAACAAACAATGTTACGTTATTAAGTATAAGTTTAATTTTCACATTTATATTATATCTGATTTATCTTAATAATTCAATCATTGAGTACTTTATTAATTAATAATATTTACTTGTTTCGTTGAAACATGCTTGCTTGAATTTTTATTAAGAAAGACTTTTGGTACATAAATTATATTATATTCATCTAAACCGATCATCAAGAAAATTATTTAGATCTAATATTATTAATAATTCTTTCAAGGAGATTCATTTAAAAATACTACACCAATAAAATACAAGTTAAATCTATATAAATAACTAACACCACATTCAATCTAAAATCTTAAAATAAATAAGTTTTCTTCCTTATATATAAACATTGTCTCACCCCTAAAAACTCAAAAACGTATCATTGGTAACACACTATTGAAATTTTACTTGAAAAAAAAAATAAAAACTTTTCTAGTGAAAATATGGAAAGGAAAGAGAAGAAAGAAGGAAGGGTTTGAAGGAGAGAAAAGGACAAGTGAAAGAATGATATAAAAGACAAAAAAGGTTAAGATAATTTTGAAATTAAGTTAAGAGTTAGATAGAAAGTGTAGTGGTAGTATTGGATAAGGAAAAGTCATAAAAAAAGGATCATTAATTTGAAAATGAAAGACTAAGCAAGTATTTTGGAATGGTTGAAAGGCTTTAATATATATATTTGAAGAAATGATGCATAAAATAAAGAGGAGAGGTCGGTCATGGGAGTAAAAAGCATTAAAG